ACATGCCAGAGTGTGTGTGTGTGTGTGTGGTCGGTGTAGAGTAGAGTTCTTCACTGTAAACCAGCCAAGTATAACGACTGTCACATTGAATAAAGTATGAATTGTATCCTTTTTCTTTTAGTGGAAATGATTATAATCATTTTGACATACAGTAATCTAACATTTCTTATATTAAAAAACCAGGAAACATAAGATTACCTCAGCGGTTAGATGGTATAAGAGTTTACATTTTCCCCGCAATGCAATCCGACATAGTTTGTTTTCAGAGTCCATGATATGTTTCTGCAGCACCCCCCATCTATTGTGAGTTGCCTACAATGCAGTCAGTGAGGAGCTGAGGAATGCTATGGAGCAGCCAAGTGGTGAATCAGCAGCTAAGCTAACCACAGCATGCACTTTGACCCCCCAGTGTAATGGTTTCTAGGCTTTAGGGATCAGCTCATCTCACATGATAAACACAAGAAACCCTCCTCTTCGTCTCTGAGTCTGAAGCACTGCTGCCACCTGGAGGACACAAATGGAAATGTTAACATACAGTATATATACTGTATGTTAACATAACAATATGTATACTACTGAGACTTACTGCTGTTGTCACTGTCTCTGATTGCTAATTCATGTATAATTGTTGTATAGTTTCTACTCTTATTCCTCTTAAACTAGTTTGATACACCTCATGTTTCTTTTAAACTTGTTTTTAATTTCTATTTCTGTATTTATCTGTACTTTCGTAGTGCTGCTGTAACACCTGCATTTCCTATATGGAGATAAAGAAGTCTTATCATATCTTGAATTGAACTGCTATTTGAGTTCAATTCAGTCGTCTTAAAAATATGTAAGATTTTAAATCTGCTTTTAAAAAATCACTTACATGCTCGCTTCCTGAATAAAGAGCTTCTGTGAAGATGAAAGTCTAGTTGCCATTTAAATGTCAACTGTCTTTGAAAAGCCTTTTGTGCTCTTGTCGTTCTTTTCATTGAAAGTGTTTGTCTGGCGCTGTGTGTGTCTTCCCACGCAGCGCTTGGAGGATGACAGCCCCTCTGCAATCTCACAGCCACACGTGTTGATGTCTGGAGTTATTGTGAGTGTTTCTGCTGTGTGTGTTTGCAGATGCGTCAAGGGGCTTTCCTGGTCAACTCGGCACGGGGGGGTCTGGTGGATGAGAAAGCTTTGGCTCAGGCCCTGAAGGAAGGCCGGATACGGGGGGCCGCCTTGGACGTCCACGAGTCGGAGCCTTTCAGGTGATTATCCTCAGAGCTTTCACCGATTCAACTGACTGTTAAAACATACTTTAGTATTTCATCGCTAGAATCATCGCACATTTATAGGACATAGCGACTCCTAATAGACCCTAATAAGTGACGGAAATGGATGCCCAAATCAAAATGAAATCAAAACAATCTCGTTAGAAAAAGGCTTTCTTTTTCATCTCTTATTTACTTTTTTCTCTTCATATTTCTGTTGAGCAGTTTTTCCCAAGGTCCTCTGAAGGACGCCCCCAACTTGATCTGCACCCCCCACACCGCTTGGTACAGCGAGCAGGCATCACTGGAGATGAGAGAGGCCGCCGCCACAGAAATACGCAGAGCCATCACTGGTACACTGACTTCTCTAAATGCATTTCACATTTAAGCTGCAGTCCAAAAAGTGTGGCATAGGTATTTTCCTTATCCTCCATCATGATGTCAAAAGAAACATCTGTAAGAGAATTCATGAAGACTTAGGAAAAGACAACCATGGTGCTAACGGAGTACAACTGCTCTTACACTTTGATAATTATGTCATGATGGATTTAGTTTTTCCTTTTTGAAAAAAAAGCTTTATTTACAACACAAAGTAAGGTATCCTTTCCAACTAAACAGCCACAGCACATTAGGTTAATGGTTAGGTTGACTTTGAATTTTGTTGCAACAAGGAATTGTTGGACGGCATTATCCCCTGTTCTTGGATACTAGATGGTCCATAGTCCAGGTTCTATGCTAAAGGAGATTTAAAAAAAAGGAAGCTTTGTACCACCAGCTTTGTATTTCCTAAACGTAGGAAGCTGCCTTATAGATACTTAGATTTAGTTTATGTTTTGTCTTGCCCCGACCCAGGCCGTATTCCTGACAGCCTCCGAAACTGCGTCAACAAAGAGTTCTTTGTCACCTCGGCCCCCTGGGGAATGATGGAGCAGCAGCAGCAGCCTCAAGTTCACCCTGAGATGAACGGTGCCGCCTACAGAGGGCCCGTATTCCTGGACAGCTTCGAAACTGCGTCAACAAGAGTTCTTGTGTCACCTCGGCCCCCTGGGATGATGGAGGAGCCCAGCAGCAGCCTCCAAGTTTACCCTTGAGATGCACCGGTGCCGCCTACAGGTAGGGGGGGGGGGGAGACAGGAGACCACCTGAGAGACATCAGCACCTGCCGTAGATCAGGCTTAGACTAGATGTTCTTATGTATGTCACAATTCTCTATTCTTGAATTTTAGCCTGGGTCCTAGTTTTTGTGGCGTATTAATACATAGTAGTTGGCCCAAATGAATGAATCCCTTGTTCAGTTTAGGCTTTTGGTTTCTCAGTCTCTATATTGTCTCAACCAGAATGAACTGCTTTTCTCACACAGCCAAATGAACCGAACCATGGTACAGGCCATAGCAACGGGGGGAATGCAGGACAAATTATATACCTAATTCTCAACCAGGTAAATGAAAACTACCACTGCTGGCACACAGGCCAGAGCAAATGAATACCATCATTAATATAAACCAAATCCCATTTAAATCTGTGGCCCCTTTTCCTGCTTTACACTCTTGAGCCACATGTCCCGAAACCCACTGTACCCTGCCTCTCATCGATTCCCTAAACACGACCAAGGGTTCACACACATGTTCAGCTAGGTATGACACACTTGATATAAGGAGTAGAAAAAGTAAAAATCTAAATAATGCACTTTTTTTCCTTGTTTTTTTTTTTTACGACTCTAATTTTGAAGTGACGAGTTACAAACAAAATTGTGGAGTTTTTCAGAAAGAGTTATGTCCTTACATCTAAGAAAGAAAGAAAGGAAGTGACATTTTGAAACTTTGCGTCTTGCTGAGGGTTTTATTTGCAGTGACAGCCCTGACACTTTTCCTTTCAGCTCCCTGAATCAGTTCACCCAAATTATGAAAACATATCTCACTCGGGAGCCTATTTGGAAAGAGATATCACTGATTATTGTTTTAATGTCATCTATACCGTAAATCAACTAAATTCAGCAGAGATCTTAAAAGCCGAGCAAACAAAATCAGAGCTATCTGCAAGGTAAGGAAAGTAAGGAATCATGTTTCATAATTTGGGTGAATGACCCTTAAGAGTCCTTCCTCACACCAGATATGAACCTCTTACATCATGTATTGCCTCCATGCGGCAGAGCTCCCTGACATGTTTAACTTTGCCTCTTTTTTAAATGTTTTTTTATTCAATGTAACGCTCTTTAAGTACAACATTATATTTGAATAAATACCATTTATCCATTTACTTCACACAGTAATGATCAGGTGCAAAAAAAGGTTGTCCAACTTTGTGGTGGTTTCCCTCTGCTCTTCAACCACGCCTGTTGATCCTCTCCTCTCCCTCCCCAGGTTCCCTCCCGGCGTGGTGGGCGTGGCCCCCGGCGGGATCCCCGGACCAATGGAGGGGTTGGTGCCTGGGGGGGTGCCCATCGCCCATACCCTGCCCCCCGGTACCCATCCGTCACAGGCCCCCTCCCCCAACCGACCCTCCAAACATGGCGACCCCATGAGAGAGCACATGACTGAGCCTTAGGACTGCTGCTGTTACCGAGCAGGGGGCTGAAACCAACTTCAACAAAAAAATAAATAAAACCCAGCAACCCCACCAACCGAACCATCCGACTGCACGCTTGACTTCAGCCATCTGAACCCACCAGCAGACTGCCTGTCGGGCAACGTTTCAACAATTTATTTTGTATGAAACCACAGCCCCAGTGAGGACAGTGGACACACAGTGGTTATAACACACCTGAGATGGTTATTACACACCTGAGCTGCCACACTGAGATGGGACTGACCGTCAAACTCATGCAGATCTGAAACCTCCCCTCCCCCATATCTGTTTCTGTTCTTCGTTGATTTAAGTGATATTTTAATCTTTATTTCTGAGTATATTTCAGGGGAGATTCTTCCTGATTTCTGGGACATGTTGACATTTCCACATGCAGGATGGACATCTGACACCTCCCCCCCCCCTCCCTTGATTTAAAGGACAAACTTGAAGCGACAGTGACTTCATAAACTTCCCCTTATTCCTCAGTTTCGCCCATTTCAGCACAAACATGTCTTGTGTTGATTTTTTGCTTTTTTACTTTCCTCTGTTTACCCTATATTCTGTGTTTATGTTGCAAGTGAATATCAGTTTGTTCGGTTCTTCAGTGTTTGAAAATGAATGAATTTACAGTTACACGTATGTTTAGCAGACCAACAGCCGTCTCCATCAGAAATCTGGACTCCATCTTTTGCTTTTTCCCTTCGTGGCTGGTGGCCCCTGAATGTAGAGCCAAGATGTGTGCCAGGACATGTGGTTTCCAGTTCCAGAAAGTATATTTCAGCCCATTAACTAAAAAAACGACCCATTGAAACCAAAAAAGGAAAAAAATCAGACTGCCATTTGTGGTTAGATATTGTACGTTGAGTGTATAACATCAATTACATTTAGCTGTGGTATTTTCCAACGCAGCTGAACTTAGGTACCCACGATATTTGGCCTGAACAGTGTCCCAAATATCTGCATCCAAAGGACCGACAGTACGTTACAGCTCCAGTTAGCAAAGTAGGAAAAACAAAAACAGCTTACTGACTCAGGAAAAAGAAAATCTGTCCAAATCGGAATTAAAAGAAAAACTGGATTCTTGCTTTCCATTACTCCACCTCTTTCTCCATTGTGGTATTTTTTTTATATATCAAATGTACGTTTTTTGATGTTCAAGGTTTTCTGTCCTGTTAGATTTGTATTGCCTTGTTAAATGTTCTTATAATCATAGTCTGATGTGAGCGACCACTCCCTCTCCTCCTATAGTTTCTCCCTCTTTGTTTTTCTGCTCTAATGAAATCCAGCTGTGGCTCTCGGAGGCAGAGCGTCCTCCGTGAACAACCGCCGCCACATCCATCCCTTTTAGCCCCGTGACGTTAGCAAGAGACGGCTGCTAGCAGATTGTTTGGTTTTTAGTGTGAGTATTTGTATTTGTTTCTTGTACAAGGTGAACATATAGCATACAGTGCAGCTGGAAACAATAAATAAAATGTACTGTTCTGATTGATGATTGCCTGTGTGAGATATTTGTTTGTTTTCTGGACATGTTTAACACTTGCTTAAAAAACAATTAAAAGGGGTTTCAAAGTCTGGAACTGTCAATGTCGGAAAATATAAATTGTGCAACAGGTTTTAGAAATACAGTTTCTATTAGTCCTATTTTCAACAGGATGTGTAATCCATGAGTTGTGGTGTAAATAAGTTGTATATTTGACAGACATTCAGCCTGGATCTGGCTGCTCCTTCTTGCTACGTTGCAAAATGTGCCAGTCCGAAGACGACGCTTATGTCACCAAGCCGTCGCTCTGAACCACAGAAACTTCTGAATTTCCATAATAATATTCATAATAAATAGAAATAGCATTCAAATCAGATGAAAAGGTGTGTCCTGCTTGTTCAGTTATGTAATACAACGGTGCATTGATTTGATGTCACTCGGTCACATGACGTTGAAACTGTTGAAAATAAATTCCACATTAAACAGACGGCTGTTTTTTTTCCTTAAAATATTATTTTATTATAAAAGAAGCACTGAACTCCTATCGAGAGATGTATGTAGTTTTAACATAGGGCATGGATTGGTAGTCAATGGGTAACTTGACATGAAAGCTATTGAAGGGATTGAGACTGTTGATTTGTTCAACAATATTAATGTATATGATGGACGAACATTTAATAAAACTGGTACATTGATTTTGGTTTATAAGTTCCCATGATATCTAAAAAAAGATCTAAGAGATTTTGATTCAAAAACTGCTGTTTTCTTTCATTAAAATGTTCATATAAAATAGAAGCAGCATTGAAATGATATACAACAAGGTGTGTCCCGGATGTCTTTTGCAGTTATACAATGCTACATGGATTAGAATGCTACATGGATTAGGATGCTACATGGATTAGGAGTCATAAGGTCAAATGATATGGAGGATATTAAAAACACCCAAGAGTTTTCCATTAACACGTCTCTACTTTGTATGTATGATCTTTATAAGAAATTTTACGTGTAAACGCTGATATTCTCTGTATTTTCTAGGGGATGTATCTGAATGCATGAGAATAGAAGTTATTTCTGCCTGCCTAGTGCACAATATAAATTGTTATTATTGAAGTGTTTGACTCCATAAGCATTCACACATTTAAGTATTAAACATTGAGCGTTATGATTGAGAAAATGAAGTCTTTATCTAAACTCTAAACACAGTCTACAGTATGTTTACGATATATTTGTAGATGTTGGAGGCAGTGGCCAATCTGAACCTTGTGGCCTTCTCTGACAACGCTGTCAGAATCATCTCATGACCTCTGTTTAAACAAATACAATAAAGAGATAACAATAATGAACTTTTTTATGACATACTAGCATATGTACTTTTTACAGAACATACCATTCTATAATTGTTGTGACAATCTTTCATAATGTTTGACAAACTGTACTATGATGTTTTACTGCATAGAACATCATTTACTATAAGCCATGATATACTATGACATTTTTAGGATTAGTTGAAATGACTACACTATATGTTGAATCACATTTGTTTACGATTAACTCACTATACTATGTTTTTTCAATGAAAATCACAGAATAAACTAAAACATGAACTAACAGAATTGATTTCTAAGAACATCAGACAGGAAGCAGTTTAGTTGGACATTCAAAAAGGTTTTCCTTTATTTTTTTTCCTTATTTTGCCTGTTCACTGCGTTACACTCTGTATAGTGAAGTCAGGCTTAAATCCACAAACCATCATAGTCACAACTGCAACTATTGCATAAATACAAAGCAACATACAGGTGATGCTCAAAACGTGAGTTTGAATGAAACAGGAAAGAGGTTACAGTACGCAATGGCAGGGAAAAAAACGAAATGCAAAACATTCACAGCAAAAAAAAAAGTAACTTGTTTTTCTTCTGTCAGCTTTGGTTTTATATGTTGCAGTCTCACAATGACCTTCATCACAAACTTAAAGGAGGACAACAAACAGAGGAGGTGAACTGACGTGTACCATGACCTTGACAACAAATGCTATGAGGAAAAAAGGGACAAAGAGGAAATAACAAACAACGCTGTGACTGTTCTGTTGACATTAAATGTGTCTCACACTCGTCTGCCCAAAAGAAAAGCACCAGATTTTAGGCATCCAGATGAGATACTAAATCGCACGCAATAACGCAAGTAAACTTCTCACTGATGGGGATGATTGGTTCTTTCCTCACAGCAACAGTGTTTCTGTGCAACGTGTCTTCATCAAGATTGAGAGAATAATTAACAAAACCACAGAAAGGAGAAAGAACATATACAGAAAGATCCTAGTAGCTCATATAAGTTTCCAAACAATAAATATGTAAGAGTAATTTCAGAGAAGAAAACACACGCACACACACACACAACTTCAATCAGTCTGAAAAAGGTAAACCAAAGATCCAACATGAATGTTTGTGTGCGAAGATTGAGTGTAGATTTGACTTGTAAAGGGAAAATCTCCCCTTTCAAGAGCTTCATATATGACCTTGATTCAAGCAATGATACTGTATTTATATAGAAATGTTTTTAATAAATGTGCAGTGCTTAGTAATAAGGATTAAAGTCATTTAGTATTACACAATCTCTGGTTTTCTACAGATAATATTTATTGGCTTTGTCCCTGCCCATTCAGAAAGAAAAAAAAAAGTAACAAGCCAAGTCTTAAAATGGAAAAAGAAACATCAAAAAGATCAATTTGGAAGTGTGCTTTTCTCAGTGCCCACACTGAACAGATATAAATGCTGGTATATGTCCTTATACTCTTTTTAAAACAACCACATGCATTTACATCTATGGATCGAGAATCCTTTATTCCTTTACATTTGAAAAACAAATCAAAAGGTCGTTTGCATTCGTAAACCTTTGTCTCGCAGCAGTTTGTCAGTCTCAGCGTTTTCAGAGTAAAGTGTTGCACGTGTTTTTTAGGTGTCTGTCCGAGTGCCTGCGTGTGATAGAAGAGCAGCAGTGTCTCCTGTCAGTGGGGGGGGGGCTTGGTTCCCTGTCCTCTCCTGAAGGCTTTCACAGTTTGTCCGTGTCAGGAAAGAAAAAAAAAAACTGTAAGATAGAGGAGAGGGAGGAGTCTTGCCCCCCCCCCCNCCCCCCCACCAGCAGACCGCCTCCCTCGCCTCGCTTCAGTTCTGTCACTCGTCTTCATCGTCCTCCTCCTCCTCTCCGTCAGACAGAGACGCGCAGGGGCGGATCTGCCGGTACCCGTCCAGCCACTTCTCCACCATCTGGGTGACCAGAGGGTGGTTGCGACGTCGTGAGCTCTTCTGAAGAGCCACCAGCACCCCCCCCTCCGTCACACAGCAGTCCAGCCACTCCCGCAGCAGCTTCTCCTGCTGCTCCTCGTTACCCATCTGCAGGGGGACAGATGCCACCATCAGAGGGAGCCACATTGAAAGTAGAGTAACAAACAAACTCAAGTAGATACGTTTGTAGCGGACTCTAAGGGAGCAATTCAGCAGTTTGTGAGGTCCAATCATGAGCCTCTTCTGTGATGTACTATTTTCACACTAACAGTTTGTTACTATGGAAACAGAATGCTGGGAGTAACTGCTTGTTGGGCTTTAGCTGTGTGGATCAAAGACACATGTCGCATAGTCAAAGATAGAAGCTGTTTGTTTCTATTTTCCCACAAAGTTTTATGTTTAAGAAAATGTATAAAGAAAGCGTAATTAGACAGTATGAAGTTGACTTTTGATTGTGTTCTGGGTTTATGGTTCAGTATTTGTAAGCAACTGTGACTGAAAGAATATTGCTTTAGGGGAAGGTGAGATGTGGAGTTGTTCTTCCACCATGCTATAAAAAAACAACCAGTAAAAGTATACATGTTTTGTAAAGTGTACATGTTTTGTTTTAAAATAACTGCCATGTGTGGAATAAACAAATAAATAAAGATA